CTTTCTTTTTCTATTGCCGATGTTATTAATCCTTTGGTAAGCCAGGCATTTCTGCTTTTCTCTTTGTGACTAATTATTACTTTATTGGTACTAATATCTATTAGTCTTTTTATTTTCTCTATGAACAGTCCCGTTGCTTTGTCTATATTATTTATAGAGTATAATTGTTCCCAGGATTCTTGTTTGACATTTGATATTAGTTTTGAATTGTCGACAAAACATTTGTAATTTTCCTGGTTGTTATTAACGGTAGGGATGTTAGAATGTTTTTCATTTGAAGATATCAGTAAAATAGTGGAGAAGTGGTCAGTAATATCGCTTTCTAGGATTATTGGTATACAAGTAATTTTGTTGGATAGGTCTTTCACAAAGCAGTGATCTATACATGTGCCACTGATGGACCTTGTAGGTAGGTTTATATAGGACAGATAGATCTCAACTTTTTAGCGCTTCTTGCACCGATCACTTTACTCGTATTAGCAATCTTTCACACATAGATATTTTTTATTAGGTCAGGGTTGCTGGCAAAGTCTATTCACGACAACGGGCTGACTTGATTCGTTTGTTATACATGTTCTTGATTAACTTTACGGTGAGAGAAACTAACTTGCGCTGAACTTAATCTTTTTTTATCTGAATTGACACCAGCGTTGCGTGTGGGAGGTGCAGAGTCAACCTTAAGAAATTTTGATTTTAGTCATGACGAGTTGTACTTGTCATATGTGAACACCGCAAGCTGTTTAAGACTCTGGGCCCTATGTAATTTTTTGGACGGAAGACTCGAAGTATTACCAGTCATTTAGAAAATACAATTGAGACGTCGCTCATTTTAGACCTCAAGCTACAGTTATTCATTTAAATTCGGGTCAAAATGTGTTGTTTCAAGGCAAACTGTGCATTGGAATGCTCGGAGAGCTACACCTGTCTCATAACTCGTAAGAAATATTTATTTTTCGTATAATAAACAAGAAATTGGGTCATTATACCACCATCAACCAGATCCTGTGACCCCCACATCACAACATAGCGATGACTCATCGTATTACACATAAATGCCAGAGTGTCTGATAAAATAAAAAAAAGTGGGGTATATGGTATCTGATATTTGCATAGACGTATGAAAGAAGAAAATCTGAATACAACATACGATTTTTTGATTACCTGGTAAAGGCCGGGAGTGAACAGGAAGTCAAAAAATGGGAAAAAATATAGTATGAAGTCTTTTTACCCTGAATAAAAACTATTAAAAACATACAAAAACGATTTTGAAGCGCCTTCAAATGATTATACTTCAATTATTTCTCACTGCATTCGTCTACATAAAACTTTTTTTATCGTAAGTATTCGTTTTCCAAGATTCTGACCTAATAATTTTTATTTGAAGAAATAACGATCTGGTAACGAAGAAGAATGTTACCTCTTATGCAATGAGAAGTAGAAGAGCCTAAAACTATTGATACAAGAATAAGGAATTGAAGTTATTATACGTTATACTAAGTGACATATAAATCCGAACACCCAGTTTAAATGGTTTTATTTTAATAAAAGTTGGTGAATGTATTTATCTTACTGTAAATAACAAGTGAAAAAATTTTCAGCCTCATCAGTTGGACATTCCGGTTTTTATACTGCGTTTTTTAAATTCACTAACGCTCTAAAAATAAATATTTCAGCCGCATTAAAGAATCAACGTTGGCGGATTTTGGTTCTTGACATCCTTTACGATCGGTTACGATGCCTAGAGTACGGAGACCTGTACGATTTCGTCAACTTAGTGAGTTTGATAGGGGCCGTATAGTGGGGCTTTCTTTTCGGGCAATTGCAGTTAGAGTGCAAAGAAGTGTAGACACTGTGGTTAGGTGTTGTCAGGCATGGCTTCGAGAAGGCCGTACGCAAAGAGCAAGGGGCACTGGACGCCGCCGTAGAACAACAGACCGTGAATATCGCCTTCAAGATTATTGGCCTTAAGGGACCGTTTCTCCACTACCAGGTCCATTGCAAATGAATGGTTTGCAGAACACGGAAGACCTATTGGCATGCGAAGTGTTTACCGACGAATGAGAAGTTTTGGCTTGTTTTCATACCGGCCACACTGGGTCCTCCCTTTAACTCGAGAACACCGACGTAATCGCCTTGAGTGGTGCAGACAACGGTCACTCTGGGATCAGGAATGGAACAGTATTGTCTTTAGTGACGAGTCTCGATTTTGTTTAGGCATGCACGATGGACGTGCCCGGGTTAGAAGGCGACGTGGTGAAAGGAGGAATCCACAGTTTTTTGTTGAAAGACATGTTCATCACACTGTTGGAGTTATGGTTTGGAGTGCTATAGCTTATGGTTCCAGATCACCTTTAATCTTCATCAGAGGTAACATGAACGCCCAGCGTTATATCCACGAAGTTCTAGAACCCCAATCTTTTACCCTATCTTGACACCCTGGCAGATCCAACTTTCCAACAAGATAATGCATGACCACATGTTGCAAGAGTCACAATAGACTTCTTTCAACATAATGATGTCACATTGTTACCATGGCCACCAAGATCTCCCGACTTATCCCCAATTGAGCACGTGTGGGATATGATGGGTAGGAGATTGCTCAATTTGCAACGTCCTCCTCAGACTCTAGAAGCACTTCGAGAGGAGATGGTGGTTGCCTGGAATGAGATACCACAGGAGGACATTGACCACCTGATCAGAAGCATGCCTAGGCGCGTTGGAGAACGCGTAGCACATCAGGGTGCATCCACATATTATTAAAGGTCAAAGGGCTTTAAAGCAGTGCAATCATTTTGAAATTTTTATCATTTACTTATTATGCTTCATTAAGTACTTATACTTTATTAAAATAAAACCATTTAAACTTTGTGTTCGGATTTATATGTCACTTAGTATAGATAATTCGATTTGTATGAGGTATGCTAAACCTCGACAAAGTTACATTTTTAATAGCTGAAATAGATGAATGTAACATTTGAAACTAATCGTCGGCGTAGTCACACTAAATAATTCTCCATCCTTATAGACCGTTAAATAAAATAACGTTTGTAGGTTTGACTTTTTACTAACGCGTCGGCCAACCCGGAACCCTTTTGCAAAGTACAAATCAAAAATGACATTTCCAGAATTTTTGAGCTCATTTGTTTTGGACATCCATACATCGGAGAACTCATTTAAATTCGGTGTATTTCCCGCCAAGGGAGTTAGCAATCATTTTTGTTCTGGATAGGGATAGGAGGTGACCATACATTTCATGTGCCACGCCTAAGAACAAAAGTCGTTTTCCCAAAAACGGAAGCCCAGAAGCGTCCGGAATTTTAACTATTTTCTACTTTTATAACTTTTCATAAACGTCTATTGCATTTGTTAATAAGGTATTCAAATTTACATTCGGGAATTTATTGTCAAACTACTCCTTTAGGAGAAAAATTAGTGAAGTCCATATAAATATAAAATACAATAATAATAATTAACGCCTTTTTATTTGTAATATAGATGTGATGTGGCGTGAAATTGTAAAAGTATTTCTATCACTAATGTTAATACCATGCATATTTCCTCTACGTATGAATTTACTCTTTAAATATGACGGTGCTTTAATAAAGAACCTTATAAGTCAGACTTAGGAGCTGATGTCTATACATATTATCAATTCTCATCCAGCTAAGGACATTAATGGTCTTCGATATATGATTTTCTGAGATCATTTATGAATCTGCAACATACATATATAATGCTAACAACGATATCCAAATCTCTTGAAATCAAGTAATATTATATACCAGTTAAACATTCGATAGCGACACTCCTGGGGTAATTTTAAATCAAAGTTATTCAATGCCTGCCGTTATTCACAGAGTTTCATCCAAATCATCAAACCAATTTAAGAGAAATTAAAAATACCAGTATTAGAAGACTTCATGCTTCATGACATGTCTCAGATGGTATGTTATACAGGGTGTTTCAGTTTATTGTTGCATAACTTTAAGATTCGATAGAACTTTTAAAATTAATGCATAAAGTCTATATAAACATGGGTCGAAAGATGCGTGGCTTCCGAAATACAGGGTGTTTAAATTTACTTTCTAAAATAGTTTTTTTTAAATATTTCGAACAATATTTGATGTATAACAGTGAAAATTGGTATACAATGGTTTTTTGGTATGACAAAACGAACCATGGGCATAGTTTTACTGTAGCAGCTAGAGGGCACTCTCTACTGTACCTGTAGTGTATTAAAATGACCGAAAATTTTTTCTTAGTGCAATTTTTTGCTTTTTGAATACAAATGCTGATTCTTCGCACTTTTCAACATAAAAAAGCTCTCTTGTGAGTTTTCGTTATAGTTAGCCGTTTTTGAGATATTTCAATTTTTAAGGTTAAGAAAAAATTTTCGGTCATTTTAATACACTACAGGTACAGTAGAGAGCGCCCTCTAGCGGCTACAGTAAAACTATGCCCATGGTTCGTTTTGTCGTACCAAAAAACCCTTGTATACCAATTTTCACTGTTATACATCAAATATTGTACGAAATATTTAAAAAAAAACTATTTAAGAAAGTAAATTTAAACACCCTGTATTTCGGAAGCCACGCATTTTTCGACCTATGTTTATATAGACTTTATGCATTAATTTTAAAAGTTCATCGAATCTTAAAGTTATGCAACAATAAACTGAAACATCCTGTATACCTGAATGACCGTATACATAAAAAAATAAAACGAAAGTCAAAATCTGCCAAAATTAGCGGATGAACTTTTTATTTAGAGTATTTCAAACGCATTTCACAAAAAATCTAAGGTCGATCCACCATGATTTTTTTGGAAAATACCCCTCGCTCGTGTATGAACATCAATGGAAATGTCAGAACAATCCAGAAAGTTTCTTCGGCAATTACGCTTGGCTGTACGGGCAATTTCCTGCGTGTTTCCTTCGTTCGCTTTAAGCTGCAAAGTGGCAAAGAGCCCACATTAAAGTGATTTTCCTTTCTCTTTTCCAGAACGGATATCCAGCGAGGAGGAGGTCGCTGGTAGACGACGCCCGCTTCGAGACTCTGGTGGTGAAGCAGACCAAGCAGACTGTACTCGATGAGGCCAGGCAGAGAGCCAATGGTAATTATTACTCAAAATAAATATGAATTAATAATATACACAGATATATAGGGTGTCTCAATATTCCGCGGACATAGAAGTGTCACGTATGTTTAGACTCATAAACGTTAATCAGGGATTAAAAGTGCTGCAAATATACTAAGTGACATATAAATCCGAACACCCAGTTTAAATGGTTTTATTTTAATAAAATTTTGTATAAGTACTTAATGAAGCATAATAAGTAAATGATAAAAATTTCAAAATGATTGCACTGCTTTAAAGCCCTTTGACCTTTAATAATGTGTGGAGGCACCCTGATGTGCTACGCATTCTCCAATGCGCCTAGGCATGCTTCTGATCAGGTGGTCAATGACCTCCTGTGGTATCTCATTCCAGGCAACCACCAACTCCTCTCGAAGTGCTTCTAGAGTCTGAGGAGGACGTTGCAAATTGAGCAATCTCCTACCCATCATATCCCACACGTGCTCAATTGGGGATAAGTCGGGAGATCTTGGTGGCCATGGTAACAATGTGACATCATTATGTTGAAAGAAGTCTATTGTGACTCTTGCAACATGTGGTCGGGCATTATCTTGTTGGAAAGTTGGATCTGCCAGGATGTCAAGATAGGGTAAAAGATGGGGTTCTAGAACTTCGTGGATATAACGCTGCGCGTTCATGTTACCTCTGATGAAGATTAAAGGTGACCTGAAACCATAAGCTATAGCACCCCAAACCATAACTCCAACAGTGTGATGAACATGTCTTTCAACAAAAAACTGTGGATTCCTCCTTTCACCACGTCGCCTTCTAACCCTGGCACGACCATCGTGCATGCCTAAACAAAATCGAGACTCGTCACTAAAGACAATACTGTTCCATTCCTGAACCCAGAGTGACCGTTGTCTGCACCACTCAAGGCGATTACGTCGGTGTTCTCGAGTTAAAGGGAGGACCCAGTGTGGCCGGTATGAAAACAAGCCAAAACTTCTCATTCGTCGGTAAACACTTCGCATGCCAGTAGGTCTTCCGTGTTCTGCAAACCATTCATTTGCAATGGACCTGGTAGTGGAGAAACGGTCCCTTAAGGCCAATAATCTTAGGCGGCGATCTTCACGGTCTGTTGTTCTACGGCGGTGTCCAGTGCCCCTTGCTCTTTGCGTACGGCCTTCTCGAAGCCATGTCTGACAACACCTAACCACAGTGTCTACACTTCTTTGCACTCTAACTGCAATTGCCCGAAAAGAAAGTCCAGCTTCCCGAAGTCCCACCACTATACGGCCCCTATCAAACTCACTAAGTTGACGAAATCGTACAGGTCTCCGTACTCTAGGCATCGTAACCGATCCTAAAGGATGTCAAGAACCAATATCCGCCAACGTTGATTCTTGACTGCGGCTGAAATATTCATTTTTAGAGCGTTAGTGAATTAAAAAAAAGCAGTATAAAAACCGGAATGTCCAACTGATGAGGCTGAAACTTTGTTCACTTGTTATTTACAGTAAGATAAATACATTCACCAACTTTTATTAAAATAAAACCATTTAAACTGGGTGTTCGGATTTATATGTCACTTAGTATATATATATACACATATCAAGCTTTCGAAGATCTATGTCTGCATCGTCTGGAGCTGGAAACAATTATTGACAATAGCAACAAATAACAATTAGGAGAAAAATATGTACTTACTAAGTCGGCGAGATTGTTGCTGAAATTGTTTTTAATCAACAGTGAATGGAACACATAGTCGACGAATAAAAAACTGGACTGATGAGGTTCGATTAGGACGGAATTATTATTATTATTAAATGGCAAATCATTTTGAAAGGTTTTTTTAATTAAACGTTGATTGATTTTGGAAGAAATTTGTAGATTTCAAAACTATCAACTATTGAAAATTCCTTCTAGATTTCATCTTTTTTTCACTGATAACCTCCACGTTATGTGAAAAGTTTGATGAGGATGAGGTGATATGTAAGACTGTACAAGTTATTATCTGGATGTATAAAGATACCTCTTGGACTAATTTTACTATTAATACCGATAGAATGGGCGTTTGCTCTATTTAGCATCTGGTATGCCATACGCAATCAAGGCCGCGATATCAGAAAGTGATAAATCCTCCTTCATACGCACATAAGGATCGATTGTCTGCCCTTGAACTGCAGATGACAGGTGACTGGTAGTGGTGTTTTCAGAGCCTAGTTGATTACCGTCAAGCATTGTCAAGGCCATCAGATATTCCATATGTATATTAATCAGAGAATCATCTCATTCATCTCGGTCGGTGGGCATTCTCTTTGAACAACACACCTGTTAAAAGTGTTTTAGGATAAGCTGTCTGTCTATTTTGTACTATACGTTGTCTGATGACTAGACAAAGCTAATTAGCCAAGAATCAACCTTGTTTGAGATAACATTGTAACAACGTGTACATCAAAATCGTTACGAATGAATTATTGGTGTAAGTGATCCAAGGAAAAGCTGTAAGGGATGAAAATACCATCAGAACGAAACCTTACACGACTAACTTGATGTAGGGGTTAATTTATTACAAAAAGAAATTATCGATTTCAACATTTACTTTTACCGGAAAATGCATATTACAGAAAAAAGTTGAAGCCTGAGTTGTACTTGACATCCAAAGAATTTGGTAAATCAAATATTCAAATATCGCATATTGGGCTCATTTAAAATGATGTCAAAAGAGATTCCACACCTTCTCACACTAACCATGTAAAAATGGGTCGCCGAAGGTAGATCCACTTTTGAATTATAAACAGACTAACTCCGTTGTTTTTTTGATTGGTGCGAAAGCTAATAAAAGACACTTTGACGACAAAATGGGCTTTTTCGGAACTTCAGGGGCCAAAATATTATATAATAATGAAACTGCCTGATCAGAAGTATGTCGATTCATAGTATGACTGCAAACACCGTACAGAGGTAAACCACTTTTTTATATTAAATACCACAAAAGCTTTGACTTTTTGTAGATCTAATGGTATGGATACTACGGTAAAAATAAATTTATAATATTAATTTTTCTGGTAGTAAAATATTATGATGTTTGAATTGTGTAATATTAGTGCTAGTAACAGCTTTAGATAGTAAATCCTATTTTTTGTTTTCTAGTTACGTTTTATTAAAAACTTTTTAAAACATCTTTATTCGAATATTCTATACATTGCACGTTTATTTCTTCATTTATATTTTTGCATGAAGACTCATATGATCAGTGTATCACGTTTGATATAACTTATTTTATTTTTTTTTATTTTGCATGGTTTTATTTTTCTTTTCTATTTTCTTTCGTAGACTCCAGCTTAGAACCAGAACAACTCCAACCACAAAAATCTGAACAAACAAATGGAGATGGTGAGTACAATGATTTTATTTTCTATATATTTAAAAATCAATTAGTATTTTGTATGCTGGAGACACAATATTTCTCAGACCTCTAAACCTCATTAGCGACAAGTGAAAATAGTACGAGAAATGCCTAAACTCATTTTTTGAAGCTCTCAAAACACCCTAAAGTGACCAGGAAATTAAACAAAAGTTGGTTAACTTTTCATTCTGAGCGCTCTGCAAGAAGAATATCTACGACCCCAAAAATGATCAAAATATTGACTGAAATTTTGCGTGCGTAATTCCACTGTCACTCGATTTCACTCATTTACATCAGCATGTCTGTCTATCTGCCAATCTATCCGCTCTATCCTCATTGAGAAGTACCATTGGGATTTTGATGAAATTTCCACACAAGATTATTACTATACCAATGACGAAAAAGCTTTTGAGTTTTTGAAAAACGGTTTGGTTGCAGCTGAGTACATGGAAAAAAGTTTAAAAAATCAAAATCGCTTAAGTTTTGTTTTTTGGTGCTCCAGAGGATCCTGATAATTTTCAGAAAAAAATGGCAATGCATTTTTACATACAGTATAATTCTAGTGCATAATTTTAGTGAATGTAATAGCTTTTTCTGATTCCAAAAAATTATCGCTTATAATCTGTAGATTGGTGAAAAAGTTGGAGTCATTTATCCATTTATTTAAATAATACCCTATACATAAAATTCAAATTCTTTACCAAAGTAATTAAATAAGCATGATAAACGATATATGTTTAGAATCAGAAAAAGAAACTATTTTCGCAATTTTCCATTAAAAAAAAATGTTTCGCTAGCACTTTTTTGAGTATCTAAAAGGACTAACTATACAGGGTGGCGCATCGAAAACGAAACAGACGCATTTACGGCAGCTCAGTGTTTTTTTTTTGAAAAACGCTCAGACCCGTCGATTTTGTTTTCGAGAGGAACACAAGTTTGGCAAGAAATCACGTTAGCACGTGCAGCCCCCTAAGCGGTGGTGACACCACCCCCAAAATCTTAAATGGAAAGGGGTGTCGAGTGATACCTTATTTTAAAGGTCTTTCAATTCCCTTTATAATTATATAAAATTGATGTACTCAGTAGTTTTGAAGATTTATTGATTTAAAACTTAAATAAAACTAATACATCATCATTAATGGAGATCAATACATTTGGCAGCAAAGTAATTTGAAAATGAAGAATGAACTGACCCGTTAGGCATGTCAATGTTGAAAATGGCCACCGTAACTCTCCATGCAATAATAAATATTTTGCTCAAAACGTTGCTGCACATTTTGCAATATTTGAGGAGTAATTTGAAGGCACAATTCTTTGTCGCAGGTCTTCTAATGATGTTGGCTGAGTAGCATAGATTTTGCTTTTTAAATGACGCCACATAAAGAAATCCAAAGGTGATAAATCTGGCGATCTTGGGGGCCATTCAATGGCACCACCTCTTCTACCAATCGATCGATCTGTAAACGTCTGATCTAAATAATAATAATAATAATAATAATAATATTTATTCACTCAATGTACAAAGATAACAAACAATATGAGTAAATAAATATAAAATCAAAACAGGCCCAATAGAAGCCATCGCCTGTACATGGACCAATAATTTAAGTTGAAACTGTAGAATGCAAATGACAAAAAAGGACAAAAATTAGCTACAGTAGATTATGTATTTATGCATTTACTTATTAAGTAAATTCTTTTAGTCAAATTTCCTCTAAAAATAGTACAAACTAATCTGATGTACCTATTAAAGTCTACTTTAAGCTTTAAATCAATAAACCTTCAAAACTACTCAACTGAAGCTCATGTATGTTACATCATTATAAAGAGAATTGAAAGACCTTTAAAATAAGGTATCACTCGACCCCCCCTTTCCATTTAAGATTTCAAGGTTTTTCAAAAAAAACTGAGCTGCCAGTAAATGCGTGTTTCGTTTTCGATGCGCCACCCTGTATATGTAAAAGTCAATGTATTGCGGCACAGCCTGTACATACAAGTCACGGAACATCTAGAGAACATAATAACGCCTATTAAGAAATTTTTCGTTTTTACTATCCGTTCTCGTGAATTGGCGTGATAATTAAAAAAGATTTTCGATCAATCTCTATTCCGACGTCCTATTTCAACATGTGCATGTGGACGTATCTCAACCACATCCACCCACACGCGTGGCACACAATAAAAATCTACATAAAATAAAAAGCTGGAAAGCTTTCAGAAGAGGCCCATAATTTCAACGAGAGGTCGGTTAACAAGTACAGCCGACAAAGAAATCTCGGTCGCTCTCCTCTTCTAGAAGCTTTTATGATGTCAAAAGTCAATTTTCACCCTCCATTTGTCGCCGAGAAGTGGATTTAATAGTTAAGTCCGGAAAATATGGCGGACAGCGTTCAGCGCGCCAGAAAGTCGCGTTAATATAATGACACTACTCGGAATTTTTTAGATTTGGAGGGATTTAAGGATAGAATTTTTCTATTCTTTCTCTCATACGGAGTTTCTTCGCACGTTCTGTGGCTAGTCTTTTTCGCAGATCAACCTACATTCACAAGAAAAAAATGTAATCATAGCCATTTATTATTATCACTGGACAACAAATTTTAGTTTTTTAATTGTATCTTGTGGGAAAAGTGCACTTCTTTGTTAATTTTGGGGCACTGAATCCAAAAATGGCAATGAAATAAAAAAATCAGTTGCGGTTTAGAAAAAAAACTTTTTATTTTTAAGGATATATTAAAAAAAGTAACAAGATTCATATACTTGTAAGAATCACTATATGCGCTGTCTTGTTGCTGATCTTTTATGGATCGTTTCTGGAGCATATCTACCAAGAGTCCAACAGTAGTCTGCAAGCATGGAAGGATTCCACTTTCCCTGGTACCTTTTTTCCATTGTTGAAATATCCTGATGAAAACGTTCGCCGTGCTCATCACTTACGGCTCCGCAATTTTCAGGAAAAAAGTCCAGGTGTGAGTGTAGGAAATGTATCTAAAGAGACATATTACAGCCCATCTTTTGATACGATGATAGCATATTTTTGACAAGGATTTTATAGTTGTCAGCTTTTCTATTTCCCAAGAAATTAGTGACCACCAGACGGAAATCATTCCAAGCAGTTTTTCCAATACCTGTTAAAGTGTTTTCAAACTGTGTATCTTTTAAAATATTTCGAATCTGTGGCCCAACAAAAATACCTTCTTTAACCTTTGCCTCACTTAGTCTTGGAAATTTCTGACGCAGGTATTGAAAAGCTGACCCATCTCTATCTAATGCCTTGACAAAGTTTTTCATTAGGCCCAACTTGATATGCAGTGGTGGTAATAAAATAATGGCATATATGCTGTACATTTTTTTGACCTGGCTCTAGGAACTGTCGAATAGGCCAGTTTTGTCTGGTGTAATGAAGTGCCTTTGCCCGACTGTCCCATTCACACAAAAAACAGCAAAACTTTGTGTTGCCTAGCTGCAACCCAAGTAAAAGTACAACAACTTTCAAATCGCCACAAATATGCCATTGGTGCTCATCGTATTTTATGCATGTCAATAGGTACTTCATATAATCATATGATTCTTTCATGTGAACTGCATACCCTACAGGAAGAGATGGTAAAATATTTTCAATATGCAATAACACTGCCTTTAAACTCAATGTTGAACTGTCTATAAACAATCTCAATTCTTCTGGGTTATAGTTTATATTTAAAGCCGCCAGTAAGCCGTTAATGTTACTGCACAAAACCAAGTTATTCTCCATATTGAAAAATGTCTTTGTGGCGTTTACGAAAAACACATACCGAAACATCGTCTTCTAACAAGTTCCACTGCTGCAGTCTTGATCCAAGTAAGTCTGCCTTACATTTTGGAAGTTCTAAATCTCTTACAAGATCATTTAATTCTGACTGCGTTATTTTGTGCGGTTGGTGGCATGACGTGCTCGCTATAAAATCAGGATCTCTTGACGTTGACGGCATATCTTCTTCCTGACGAATCACTCGATCGCCATGATCTGATTCGTTTTCTGATTCGCAAGTGTAGAATTCTGGGGGTTTTGGAATAGGATTTTCGTCACTGTGAGGCACAGGTCTCATCGCAGATGGTATGTTTGGGTAGTTAATAACCGATTTTTTTTCTTGGACATACCTGTGACTTGTCCAACACAAGGTACCATGCAAAAGTAACAATCATTAATATGATTTGTAGGCTCTCTCCAAACCATGGGACAGCAAAGCGCATAGACCGTTTTTTGCCATTTAACCAGCTCCTCAGACTTGAAGCACATGTATTACAGCAGATGTGGTGTGCCCACTGTTTGTCTTGATCACCTAGTTTACAACCGAAATAAAGCTGATAGGTATGCCTTTGTTATTAGTGGAGTAATAGACCGTCTCTGAGACGCAAAAGTCACATCACCACACACGTAACAAAACTGATCTGGATTGTTTACACACTTTCGAGACATCTTGCATGAACGCTGTCAGCCAACTGAGGAAAAAATGGCTAATATAAAACAATATAATGTACACGTATGTATAAAGTAACACAATCATGCCGATTACATCATCTTTCCTTGCCGAATATAAAAATGTAGCACGTGCATTCTTGTGAATTACAGTATATTAACACTGTCACAGCAGGAACACATATAATTACCGTATCTCTAAAACTTGAACTAATATTGAAAAAATAAGTTTCATTCCGGTTTTAGCACATTAAAAATAGTAATATTTTGTTGATTTAATTCAGGATATTTTTTGGCTGTTGATCAGTGTTATGGATCAAATGAATCCATTATATATAAAGCAAGTGCTAGATACATTTCTGTGAATATGTAATTAGAAAATATGTACCAGGATAGAGTAACCAGAAGATATGCCTGTAAAAGGCTTTTTGGTAATAGCAGATCTGGAAATATGCAAAGTACGTGTTCACGAGTATGGCTGTGCACAAACGGAAAAATATCCTTACAACTGAAGATGCTGGACTCAAAAATTCAAAGGCAGCTACGCAGGCCGATGCTCCCTTTACCGTACAACGAAAAAAAATTTTTACGAAAACCTTCTACAAAGACAGGAGGTTGACTGATCTCCAGAGACAGTTGAGTCACTAAGCTTTCTATGCAAAGTTGGCCCATTAGAAAACAATGCGATGGGAGTTACGTTCTAGCTAGACTCTGCTCTGCTTCTGCTTGAGGTGGTATTTTGTACCCGCACGATTTCAAGGAAAGGAGACCGATCTGTCAATGGAACCTACTAGGAGCAATTGTACCAAAACTAGAAATAGGTACAAAAACTGCAATAAAAGAAATGTTTGAAGCTGTGCCCAAAATCAACCGCTGTGAACAGTTCCCAAAAAAACACACACCCCTAGATAACTTTCTCGAAGAGTCTGACATTCGATAGATGACAGCAGAGAACATGACTAGTTCTGTTCTGAAATGGAGATGCTATTTAAATGGTAAATTAGCATATGCCTACGACGTTAACTAGCGCTCAAGATTCAAATACTTCAGTTGTTCGAGGCCGTTGATACTTCTTTGTTGAAATATATTTCTTTTAGGCGTGCAAAATAATGGGTGATTTTTTTGCTAGTATCTTTTTGGCTACACTGTTTTTGACAGATGACGCGTGAATCGTGTCTTGTGTCATTGTCAAACTTGTTCAGTTTGGTCTATAATTTAACCACGAATCGACTTACGAACGAACAACGCTTGCAAATTATTGAATTTTACTATCAAAATTCATGCTCGGTTAAGAGAGTGCATCGAGCACTGCTTCCAATTTATGGGCAATTTGGTCGGCCTACTGAGAGAGCTATTCGGAAGCTTGTGACTAAACTTCGAACCCAGTTTACATTATTGGACATTAAACCACCAACACGCAGACGTAGAGTGAGCACTGAAGAAAATATTGCGGCTGTATCCGCCAGTGTTAGTGATGACCGTGAAATGTCGATTCGCCGCCGTTCGCTGCAATTGGGCCTCTGTTACTCCACTACGTGGAAAATTTTGCGACAGGATTTGGGTGTAAAACCTCATAAGATACAGCTGGTGCAAGAATTGAAGCCACAACGTTTCCCATTTGGTGAATGGGCGCTGGCAAAGTTGGAGGAAGATCCACATTTTTATCGAAAAATTGTGTTCAGCGACGAAGCTCATTTCTGGTTGAATGGGTACGTTAACAAGCAAAATTGCCGCATCTGGAGTGAAGACCAGCCAGGATCAATGCAAGAGCTACCAATGCATCCCGAAAAAATCACTGTTAGGTGTGGATTATAGGCCGGTGGTATCATCGGGCCGTACATCTTCAAAGACGACAATGGCCGGAACGTAACTGTGAATGGCGAGCGCTACCGTGCGATGATAACAAACTTTTTTTTGCCCAAAATGGAAGAGCTGGACTTGGCTGACATGTGGTTTCAACAAGACGGTGCCACATGCCACACCGCACACGAAACAATGGCCCTATTGAGAGGCGAGTTCGGTGAACAGTTTATCTCCCGTTTGGGGCCCGTCAATTGGCCGCCTAGATCGTGTGATTTAACGCCGTTGGACTATTTTTTGTGGGGCCATGTTAAGGCTAATGTCTACAGGGATAAACCAGCAACGATTGACGCACTGGAAGCCAATATTGAAGCATTTATTCGTGAAATACCGGCCGATATGTTGGAGAGAGTGTGCCAAAATTGGACCTTGCGCATGGGCCATCTAAAGCGGAGCCGCGGCCAACATTTACATGAAATAATCTTTAAACATTAAATTATATCGACCGTTCTATCGACTCAAATAAAGATTTAATCGTTTTTTAAAATTTTTTGTGTTTTTTTTTTGAAAATCAAATCCTATACCTCTTAAAAAATCACCCGTTATAAGACACATCTCCTCTAAATTTACCCTTTTTAGACATAAACTACTGTAGCATTGAAACGATGTTATCACATGCGGATTAGGTGGTCGTTAAGGGCATAGACGCATAAGGAGGACATAATATTATCGCCATGCTACTGCTAATTAGCCCTTTACATAGTAATGCTGACCTCAAGCAACGTGTTTCTAGCAACATGCATTTGAAAGAAATCCAATACTTGCCTGGTAAAGGGTTAAGCATGCAGCCTCCACCCAGAACCCTCCAGCTCTTCAATTTTCAATCGTATAATTTATATCATAAGAACCTTGCAATAAGTGCAAACTCTCTAACGCTGCTTACTGTTATTGTCCTAGTCAGACGAGGAAAAAATAACTAAAACAGTATTTAAATTTTTTGACCTTTTCGGTTCATCATTAGGAGCAATCTCGTATCGGTTTGCTTGACGTTTTTCGATAGCACCTCCAAAAACATTGATCATTTTACACAAACAAGCATTGAAAATAAGAGTAGATTCCAAAGCCGGCCAATATCTGAACCAGCATAAAAACCACAGGCATTCGTCTTGTGGTTATCAACCTCTCCGGACCTTGGTTATTAAAACTCTTGCGGATAAATAATGTTGTTACTTTCGTTGTTCGATTAAAAATTCAGTCAGGCATGTCGAGGAACAAAACACTAAGCGTAACGTTATTATCTAATAATCTGTTTTTATGCAGGATGTCATTCCATTATATTCAGAGTAAGCTCATTTGCTTGCGATCAGTAGCTGCCCTTGACTATTTTTCAAGATACTGTTTTAATTCTGACTCCAAAAAAATGGACGGGTTTACATTGAGAGAGGTGTACGAGTAGAGCACATGCAGTCCCACTATTTTGGAAACCTCCCTGCTTTATTTTTCGAACTATAAATGTGCAGCTCTATCTAAAATGTTTTATTTAGCACAAGCGTATAACCAAGGTATATCTTTATCACTCAAGTTTTAAGCACAAATATACGAGGAAATTTATTAAGTAGGTTTCTATTTCTGTTTTTTCCATTTTTGCCTTGTTCTGCGCCGCCACTGAAGCGATTTTCAAAAACTAGCCTGGCATTATAATATGAATTATTTTGTGTGAAAATTTCATCAAAACCCGAGATTAGCGGGCAGACAGATGCCACATAACATTAAAAAAATATATCTTATTTAAGTAAGTATATGTATACCAATAATCCTAGAAAGCGATATTACTGACCACTTCTCCACTATTTTATTGATATCTTCAAATGAAAAACATTCTAACATCACTACCGTTAGTAACAACCAGGAAAATTACAAATTTTTTGTCGACAATTCAAAACTAATATCAAATGTCAAACAAGAATCCTGGGAACAATTATACTCTATAAATAATATAGACAAAGCAACGGGACTGTTCATAGAGAAAATAGAAAAACTAATAGATATTAGTACCAATAAAGTAATAATTAGTCACAAAGAGAAAAGCAGAAATGCCTGGATTACCAAAACATTAATAACATCGGCAATAGAAAAAGAAAGACTATATAATGTAATGAAACTAACGCCAACTACAGAGAATACCGACTGCTACAACCAATATAAAAATAAATTTATAGAGCTTGCAAGGCAAACCAAACGAAAACATTACCTAAATAAATTGAATAATAACTTAAATGATCCTAAGCGGCTTTGGACAACTATTGATGAGATTACTGGAAAAACAAAAGTTAAAGAATGTGTCACTGATTTAAATACAACATCGGGAACAGTATTAAAAAATACTCAACAGATATGCGATGAATTTGTACAATTTTTTACTGACATAGGCGAAAATTTAGCAAGTAATATACAAGCAAATGTACAAAATACTCAGCCTCCAAAAAGAACTTTGAACTCATTTATTTTGGATAAAGTCGAGCAATGTGAAGTATACAACTCTGTTATGTCCTTAAAAAATCGGAAAAGTCCTGGGTTCGATGGTACTAAAAGCGAGCATTTGAAAATTATAGCCGATGACATAATAGAACCACTCACTTACCTACTCAACAAATGCTTTGAATCTGGCATATATCCCTCAATTTTAAAAAAAGGTAATATAATACCGATACATAAATCAGGAATAACAACAGATGTTAACAACTATAGACCAATATCAATAATCTCCAATGTAGCAAAGGTTTTTGAAAAAGTTTTATCTACTAGAATTATTCGATACCTCACAAAATTCAAAATTTTAAGTGAAAATCAATATGGATTTACAGAAGGGAAGGCTACATCGGACGCAATAACCAAAATTGTAAATCAAATACATCAAAATATCGATAACAGAATCCCTTCAATCTGCATTTTTGTTGATTTAAGGAAAGCTTTCGACACAGTTAATCACAAATTATTATTAGAAGCATTGGAGAGAATTGGTTTCAGAGGAAACGCGTACTCACTGATCGAAAGTTATTTGTCAAATCGCCCACAATCTGTGCAGATATCAGGATCATTTAGTAAAGAAATGTATATTAAGTGTGGTGTCCCACAAGGAACTGTCTTAGGTCCGCTGTTATTCAATATATATTTAAATGATATTTTCCAAATTAATTGTGTTGGCAAAATAACTAGTTTTGCAGATGATACTACAATATTATATGAAGGCACTGACTGGTCTGATCTGAAAAATGTAATTGAAAATGATTTTATCAAAATTATTCGGTGGTTTAACAGTAGAAAATTAAGCATTAACTACTCTAAAACACATTTTTTACCATTTGGATCTTATGCTAGACATCTGCCAAATTACACAAATTTCTCCTTCAATATTAATGATCAAAAAATGCAAATTAATAGAGTGCCCAACATAAAATACCTTGGAGTGGTCTTGGATCCTCACTTACGATGGGACATCCATGTCAATTATATTTTAAAGGAAGTTAGATTTGTATCCTACAAAATTAAATACCTTGGGAATATATTGACAGAAAAATATCTTCGAACATTATACCATGCACTGATTGAGCCTCATCTCACATATGGTATATTAGCATGGGGAGCTGCATGTTCCTCACATATGTATAATTTAGATGATTTTCAAAAAAGTATTCTAAAAATGATATTTAAAAAACCGAAACTTTATCCCACTGAAAAATTATACGCAGATGTTCGAATGTATGATATAAATAATATATAAATTTGTAAACACCGACCAAAAAATTAAACATAATCATTATACCAGGTACAAAATTCGTGGCGCAGTAGTTCCTCAACCGCATAAATCTATAATGCAGCGATCATATCTCTATTTAGCGCCTAAATTTTATGAAATTATACCTAAAGACTTAAAAGATTTACGTTTCGGAAATTGTTTCAAAAGAAATTTAAAAAAGTGGCTACATTCTATATCTAGGACTGAAATTCATAAACTTATAAATACGAACATCAACTAAATACGTAATCTACTGTAGCTAATTTTTGTCCTTTTTTGTCATTTGCATTCTACAGTTTCAACTTAAATTTATTGGTCCATGTACAGGCGATGCCTTCTATTGGGCCTGTTTTGATTTTATATTTATTTACTCATATTGTTTGTTATCTTTGTACATTGAGTGAATAAATATTATTATTATTATTATTAAAAAGCATTAAAATCACGAAAATCAAATCCAAAACCCGATTACTTTGTGCGCGATTGGGGGTGATAATTTTTAAACTTGGGGCTTGAGCCTCTTTTATATCCATGACTTATGATCCTTTTATCCGATACCCTCTTAGAATTTGTTTCTTGGAACTCTGCTTGAGAATGATTTCTTCAACCTGTCACGTAACACTAAGGGAACTTCAGAATATTTACAGTTTCCTTCTGAAGCAGCTCAAGAATGAAAAAAGACCCTCTATCGAAATCAGCCTTTGACGCCCCTGTCTGCCACTCGAGTCGTGAATGACCGATGCATAAAAAGTCCTTAGTATTCGCTTAACTTTGAACTAAAAACTCACTGTTGCATAACGCGCGTCTTCTATCACATCGGCTATTCGCTAATAACAGTCATTACGTGAAGCAGTGGGTACCTTGTACTCACCACTTCAATAAAATGCCAGTAGCAGTACCTCCATCGCAACGTTGCCAGATTTGAAAAACAATCTTTAGACGCAGAGACAAATCCATGGAATCAAAATTCGGGGTTTAGTCTGCGGCTAAAAGGCACGTATGCTTATTGCGAAAATATTTTCAATGTGAAAGTTCCGATTGCAAAGTTCCTGCAAGGTACTATCAAACAGTAGTAGACATCCATAAAACAGTTGATGACGTCTAATGACGTGATGTTGTTATTTGGACAAAGATACATACGGTGTTGCTAGATAGATACTTTTTTGGATGGATTCATTTTTCATCAGTTAAACTTAAATTTTGTAATTATAAAGGTGGTCTCAAAAGTCTCTTGTTCACGTCTGAAGATATCAAGGATCGAAGGCCATTTATGAATATTGTAGAGAGTAAAATTCTCTACAGCTTTTGTTCTGAACATTTCTTACAATTTTCCAAAAAATAAGATAGCATTAGGAATTAAGTGATTTCTGTCTAACTTCTTGCGGTTGACTTCTACATAATAAGTTACTTTGTAAACGGACGGTTTATCGGTGGTTTTTTCTTAATCTCTAGATCAGTTGAAAAATCTCTAGATCTGGGGAAATTTTCCTAGACGTGGCAACCTCACACAATCGGTACTTCTATTGGTCAGTTAGACTGCTGCACCGTGATCGGCGGTGCATAATGTCATTTTGTTCAGGAGATTTGGAAAATTTCTAAAGCTAAGGAAATTTCCATAGACGTGGCAACCTCGTATTAGCGGAACCACTAATGGCCATTCAAGCTGCTTGTACCGTGTTCATCATATCAAGGTGCTACTGGACTTGCATGAATCTGACTCGACTTAGATCAGATGACTCGAGCTATCTTTAGATTTGAGGAAATTTCCATAGACGTGACAACATCGCACTATAGAAATCATTATTGGTCAGTTAAGGTGCTTGCACCCTGTTCACCAAATCGTGATGCTACTGGGCTTGCATGAGGCAGGCTTGATTTCGTGCCGATTATTTGAAAAATCCTTAAGCTTGACGAAATTTCCCTAGACGTGGCAACCTCGCCCTATCATAACACTAATGCCAGTTAAGCTGCTTCATCATATCGTTGTGCCAAGAGACTTACATGAATTTAGCGTGATTTCGTTCCGACCATTTGAAGAATCTCTAGATTATACGAAAGTTCCCTAGACGTGGCAACATCGCACTTTCGGAACAACTAACGGCCAGTCAAGCTACTCGCACAATGTTTCTCATATCGTGGTGCTACTGAACTTGCATGCACCTGGCGTGATTTCGTGCAGATTATTTGAAAAATCTTTAGACTTGAGGAAATTTCCCCTAGACGTGGCAAGCTCGCCCTATCAGACCATCTAATGCTAGTTAAGCTGCTTGCACTATCTTTACCATATCGTGGTGCGACTGGACCTGCATGAACCTGTCGCGACTTCGTTCAGATCATTCAAAAAATCTTTAGGTTTGATGAAATTTCCCTTGGCATGGCAACCTCGCATTATCGGAAGCACTAATGGACGGTCAAGTTGCTTGTACCGTGTCTATCATATCGTACTGCACTTGCATCAATCTGGCGTGATTTCGTTCAGATCACTTGAAGTTTCCTTAGATTTCAGGAAATTACCCTAGACGTAGCAACCTTGCACTATCAGAACCACTAATGGCTAGTCAAGCGGCTTGCACCGCGTTCATCATATCATGGTACTACTGAACCTGCTCGATCCTGGCGTGATTTCGTTCAGACCACTTGAAAAGTCTCTAAATTTGATGAAATTCCCCTAGACGTGACAATGCCGCACGATCGGTACCACTAATGGTCAGTTAAGCTGCGGCACCGTGATCACCGTACCGTGGTGCTACTGAACCTTGTAACATAACTTGCAGGAACTTGACATGATTTCGTGAACTTGAATCCGGCTGATCTTCGGCAATATTTTGAAATGCTTTATAATTTCATATGCGGATTTGAATATCATTTGCATCGCTTAAGGCGAAGCATTATTTTATCTTGCAGTTTTATTTATAGACGTCCATTGTGGTGATTCATCTTGAAGCACTAGAGTTGTTATACGGACCAGATGCAATGCGAATCAGAAGCCTGTTTTTCGGTTTATTGATTCAAAATGTGGTGGCATTATAGGGTAGTTTGAGGAACAAAATCCCTTGCAATCCTACTAGAGAGGTACCAAACATCAGCCGTGTCAATGTGAAAGAAGCCTTTATGAAGAGTTTACAATAGTTTTTTAGATCAGCTCTAAACTGCGCCTGTGTCATAGGGAGGTCTAGCAGTTTAGTAGTACGTTTTCTGATACCATTTTTTTAGACTATTTTCCATCTTTTCAGATACTGGCCTCACCGAGGAAGAAGTAGTGCTGGCCAACGCCATCGCCGATGGACCAGAAGCTGAAAAGGCCATGCAGCGGGCCGCATTCATCCTGCGCATGCGCGAGGGTATGAATTCCCTGTCCAGGGTACTGAAGGCAATCGAGAAGTACCAGGGCGCTGTACTACATCTGGAAACCAGGCCCAACAAGAGAGACAATGGACAATTGGACGCACTCATCAAGGTATTTGGAACAGGCCAATTTTCGATTTAGTACATGTTTTTAACACCATATGCGCGCGTCGAAAAAGTTATTCTAGATAAACTGAAATGCCGTAATGTCATCTATCAGAATTAGGGCCGTATCGTCAGTCGTTCCTACAATTGTAGGACGCCTTTATGGCCTGCTTGATTGTCAGAGTGTTTGCTGTCCAGAAGGGCGCTCTATTTTGAGGTTATATTACAGATATCTATTCGCATCAAATTGTTCATGCTTTTGATTTTTATCAGCGTAAAATAACCTACAATTTAAAAGGAAAACGTAACTAGGAGTGCCCTTATTGCCATAATAAAAAACAGGACATATGATAAAATGGGAGGAAGTCTTAATATTGAGTAAAGAGGATAACAATAGCAAAAGGAAGGTAATGATTCCTTTACCTGTCTCGATAAAATTGCACAACAGTTGTTTTTCTAGTTCTTCTGTGGACTGTGACCCAATCTGGTTGAACACCCTTGAAAGGAAGATCTAATTGATGTTCCCAACCTAAATAGTGGACCGTGAGCTTTTTATCCAGGATTTTTCTCACGATTTGTTGTTGTATCTCAAACGTGCAGATGTTCTGCTTTAAGATCGCAAGGCCAAATTGTTGTGTCTTACTTTATTTGCATAACGACATTTCTGGATACGTTTTCGCGTTTTCTGGAGGATCTTTGGCATTTTCATATCTTTTTAAATATTCAAATAGTTTCTTCCACGATAAGATTATTGATATAACATTCTATCCGATTTGGTGATGAGTTGTTGGGTTATAAGCGATTTAATCTACAAAACACTCAACTTACACAAACAGTCAGTCCGCCGTTTTGAAAGATAGTAGCTTTGTGTTCTAGGGTTAAAAACAGCTAAAATGTGTCACGTGTTCCTTATTTTATTCAAAAACATGTTCTAAGATGGCGTCTGGCCACTGCTACGCATCAGATTCATCACCTCAAATTTCAGTTTGTTGAATTCATCCGTTCAAAAATAAAGGAGGACTTTTTTCAAAAACCCCGTATAACTAAAGAAGCAGCATCTTACTGTACCGTTTTTGTTGTCCGTTTAAAAAGGCAACAACTTCATCAGCTTTGCAATTACCGACGTTACTTCTGCATTCCTTGGCTTACATAAGGAAAACAAAAACGTACTCGTTACACATGTTCCGACAAGTCAAGCAGTAGAAAAAATAACATCTATGAAGTAAGGGAACAATTATAAACTGATTCGTAATGATTTTGAAAACGTGAAAAACATTTTAATTATAGAAAAACGTCCACAGCTATAGAATTAATTGATTCAGCGACTCAATAATAAACAGGTGACCCAATTACGTACAACATTTCCTATAAGGCATTGAATTTTACAAGGAGAAATCTAGTAGGCTGTGACAACTATATAGATAGATATAGGAAGAATGGAAATAAGAATTGTTCAATGTTCATTGATCAATAATGAGGTACTAATTAGTTTAAATCTTTTCTAAAAACTTTTTTCACACGTTTCTGAAGGTACGTTGAACGGATGTAACATTGAAGGGGCGTATTTTAAATACATATTTATTGCAAAATAAATGCTTGTTTTGCATATACCTGTGACAAAGGATTTCCCGGCTTCGCCAAAAGCATGGCGCAGGTAAAGCCGACCAAGATACAATAGTAGACTAACAGTAGAGGAAAGTGTGCACTATTGGACCCCCGTTTTAATATTCATTCAAAAAATATAAAAATTTTCTACGAAATATAATCCTGATTGGCACTGGAGGACGTAAGGTCTTTGGGCCTCGACGAATTATGGTCGTATGAGGTCCCTATATAGTTGAAGGAGAAAGGGGCACAGGTACGAAAATATGGCTGGTAAAACTTGAAGACCGGGAGCGGCTTGAAAAATTATAAGTGCATATATCAAATAAAGATATTAATAATAAAGGAAGTAGCCTGATTACGGATTACGTTCGATCTCATCCTTACTTATTCATATGATATTTTTGCTCCAGATGCAAATGAGCCGCCTAAACCTTCTCCAACTCATCAAGAATCTCCGCCAATCAGGCACCTTAGAACACGTTACCCTTCTCGGAGAAGACAACATTTCCGCAAAGAACCCGTGGTTTCCACGTCACGCTAGCGAATTGGACAACTGCAACCATCTGATGACCAAATACGAACCTGATCTGGACATGAACCACCCTGGATTCTCCGACAAGGAATACCGTTCTAGAAGGAAGGATATTGCAGAAATCGCTTTCAAATATAAATAGTAAGTATCTTTCAATAGCCATTTGTAGACTGAGCTTTCCCTCTCGGCAAGCGCAAAGTACCACTTTGCTGCTCGACAAGCGCAAAATATCACTTTGCTGCTCGGCAAGCGCAAACTCTCAGATGATTCGGCAATGCCTGATTTTTCCACAGTGGTGACGCCATCCCGTACATAGAATACACAGAAACCGAGAACAAGACATGGACCGCAGTATACAACACAGTGAAAGAGCTGGTACCGAAGCATGCGTGTGCAGAATACAGATGCGTGTTCAAGCAACTAGAAGAAGCTGGCATTTTCCAAGCCCTGCGTGTGCCACAATTGGAGGAGATGTCAAGCTTCATGAAAAAAGCCACTGGGTTCACATTGAGACCAGCTGCAGGTCTGCTCACAGCCAGAGATTTCCTTGCGTCGCTTGCGTTCAGGATCTTCCAGAGTACCCAATATGTCAGGCATACTAAGACTCCCTTCCACACACCAGAACCGTAAGTATTTTTTATTACTAATCCAAGAAGCGGCTATGTTGTACGTTTAAGACTGTCAATGGAATGTTCCTTTAATTTTCTTTTTAACATCTTCTAATTACAAGTAGACTTTATATCATTATCTTGTTTATTAAATTCTAGTAATCTCTTATAAAATACTGTTTTTCTAGTTATATTACTATTGCAATGTTGTAAATGTCAATAATGATTGTGGTAATGATTATTCAATTTTATGTGGTGTCCTAAATGTTGTATGAAAATAACCAAATACGATATGAAATTGTTTACATTCAATTCATTGCAGTCATCAAGATTTGAACAATATAGTAAATACGGTATAATAATTGTATTATACACTTTTTTTGGAATATGTACTGAGACTATTAGAAGCCCGGTAGAAGTAATTTGTTTGTTCGACAATTTTTTAAATAATGTGCTCATAGTGATCCTCAAACTTTAGTTTACTATCAATATACACGTATGCCCAAATCTTTAAATGATTTTACCTTTTCAATTATTTCATCATTTATCCTAACTGTGATAGTATTTCCATTTAAGTATTTTCCTATTTGCATACATTTTGGTTTAGAAGCATCAGTTTTTGTTTATTCAAATTTAACCAGTTTATGATTTTTTAGCGAAGTCAGAATTTATTATCTTCAAAGCAGTGTCTATATATTCAACTGATACGTATATTAATGCATCGTCTGCAAATACCTGAATTCCACAATAATCTAAATTATCACAAACGTCGTTAGTGTATAAAGAAATAGTAGCGGACGCCGTTCACTACGTTGTGGTATATCAACAAAAATATTTTTTGTGCTGGATAATGTAGATCCAATTTGGGTTTTTTGAATTGTCACTTGAGTAGAATTTTGAATACAGATCCTTCAAATCCATAGTGATGCAACTTTATAAGCAATTTATCCCAATCAACAGTTTCAAACGCCCTTTTAAAGTCCAACAACACTGTCACTGTGTGTTTCTTATTTTCTATACATCTCCCCCCACTCCTTTAAAACTATAATGACAACAGAAAGTGTCAGGTAAATAATTTTTTACACTAACGCAACCGCGCAGACAGAAGCCTAAATGCCAGAGCACCGTGGCTGCTATCAGGAGCTGAAAAAAACATTGTTAATTCGATTGAATAATGAAAATCGTTTAAAATCCTACGCTGCCAAATTCATTTCGTCATTTTGACAACTGAACCTTAAAAAATATTTCAATACGAGTGAAAAATGAAGAACATAAGTCATCCTCCTGTAGTTTTAATATTTGATTGGGAAAGGCGTGAAATCTCCGATATATTACATCGCTATCAAGTATCGGCTCTCGCTTCAGTGTCATCAAAGAAGCGTCAGATAATTTGATTAAAAAGCCATTATACCGAGCCTGAGATCGGGTCTGCAGCTAATAGCGTTGCCTTTCGGTTCAACTTTACGATTGAAATTATTTCATGTTGCTTCATGGAGAGGAAAGAGTTATAAGAGTGCCTTTTGATTTCACTGATCAACAAACAAAAAATATCCTAAATAAAGTCAACAAAATATTACTATTTTTAATGTGCTAAAACCGGAATGAAACTTATTTTTTCAATATTAGTTCAAGTTTTAGAGATACGGTAATTATAGTGTTCCTGCTGTGACAGTGTTAATATACTGTAATTCACAAGAATGCACGTGCTACATTTTTATATTCGGCAAGGAAAGATGATGTAATCGGCATGATTGTGTTACGTTATACATACGTGTACATTATATTGTTTTATATTAGCCATTTTTTCCTCAGTTGGCTGACAGCGTTCATGCAAGATGTCTCGAAAGTGTGTAAACAATCCAGATCAATTTTGTTACGTGTGTGGTGATGTGACTTTTGCGTCTCAGAGACGGTCTATTACTCCACTAATAACAAAGGCATATCAGCTTTATTACGGTTGTAAACTAGGTGATCAAGACAAACAGTGGACACCCCACATCTGCTGTAATACATGTGCTTCAAGTCTGAGGAGCTGGTTAAATGGCAAAAAACGGTCTATGCGCTTTGCTGTCCCACTGGTTTGGAGAGAGCCTACAAATCATATTAATGATTTTTACTTTTGCATGGTACCTTGTGTTGGACAAGCCACAGGTATGTCCAAGAAAAAAAAATCGGTTATTAACTACCCAAACATACCATCTGCGATGAGACCTGTGCCTCACAGTGACGAAAATCCTATTCCAAAACCCCCAGACTCCTAGACTTGCGAATCAGAAAACGAATCATGCCGATCGAGTGATTCGTCAGGAAGAAGATATGCCATCAACGTCAAGAGATCCTGATTTTATACCGAGCACGTCATGCCACCAACCGCACAAAATAACACAGTCAGAATTAAATGATCTTGTAAGAGATTTAGAACTTCCAAAATGTAAGGCAGAGTTACTTGGATCAAGACTGCAGCAGTGGAACTTGTTAGAAGACGATGTTTCGGTATGTGTTTTTCGTAAACGCCACAAAGACTTGGTTTTCTGCAGTAACATTAACGGCTCACTGGCGGCTTTAAATATAAACTATAACCCAGAAGAATGGAGATTGTTTATAGACAGTTCAACATTGAGTTTAAAGGCAGTGTTATTGCATATTGGAAATATTTTACCATCTCTTCCTGTAGGGTATGCAGTTCACATGAAAGAATCATATGACAATATGAAGTACCTATTGACATGCATAAAATACGATGAGCACCAATGGCATATTTGTGGCGATTTGAAAGTTGTTGCACTTTTACTTGGGCTGCAGCTAGGCTACACAAAGCTTTGCTGTTTTTTGTGTGAATGGGACAGTCGGGCAAAGGCACTTCATTACACCAGACAAAACTGGCCTGTTCGTCAATTCCTAGAGCCAGGTCAAAAAAATTTACATCATATGCCATTAGTAGATTCGAAAATAATTTTATTACCACCACTGCATATCAAGTTGGGCCTAATGAAAAACTTGATCAAGGCATTAGATAGAGATGGATCAGCTTTTCAATACCTGCGTCAGAAATTTCCAAGACTAAGTGAGGCAAAGGTTAAAGAAGGTATTTTTGTTGGGCCACAGATTCGAAATATTTTGAAAGGCACACAGTTTGAAAACACTTTAACAGGTATTGGAAAAACTGCTTGGAATGATTTCCGTCTGGTGGTCACTAATTTCTTGGGAAATAGAAAAGCTGACAACTATAAAACCCTTGTCAAAAATATGCTGTCATCGTATCAAAAGATGGGCTGTAATATGTCTCTTAAGATACATTTCCTACACTCATACCTGGACTTTTTTCCTGACAATTGCGGAGCCGTAAGTGATGAGCACGGCGAACATTTGCATCGGGATATTTCAACAATGGAAAAAAGGTACCAGGGAAAGTGGAATCCTTCCATGCTTGCAGACTACTGTTGGACTCTTGGTAGAGATGCTCCAGAAACGATCCATAAAAGAACAGCAAAAAGACAGCACATATAGTGATTCTTATAAGTATATGAATCTTGTTACTTTTTGTAATATGTATATCCTTAAAAATAAAAAGTTTTTTTTCTAAACCGCAACTAATTTTTTTATTTCATTGTCATTTTTGGATTCAGCGCCCCAAAATTAACAAAGAAGTGCACTTTTCCCACAAGATACAATTAAAAAACTAAAATTTGTTGTCCAGTGTTTTTGAACATGAAAGTCTATGTTCAAATTACATTGTTTGTCGCCAAAATTGCGTAGTTTGACACATTTGTCTACCAAAGTGACAGCGTTGCATCAACATGATAATAATACTAAAATGGAGTCTCATTTTATTATATCTAGTTGAAGATTTTTTTTTGTAATTATCCGCAATAAAATTCTTAACTGTAGATGTCACATAGATCTATGCAAGACTCATAACGAATGAACAGCCAAACAGAACAGACAAAAATAACTGTGGTAGAAAGAATAGCTGGTAAAAGTAAATCAACAAGTGACACAAGGCATTTAATGACAAACAAGACTAGGCCACCGGTTGTTGGAGACTGGAACAGAGGAATAAAACAGGATAAATTCGCGTAAAATATACTAAGTGACATATAAATCCGAACACCCAGTTTAAATGGTTTTATTTTAATAAAATTTTGTATAAGTACTTAATGAAGCATAATAAGTAAATGATAAAAATTTCAAAATGATTGCACTGCTTTAAAGCCTTTTGACCTTTAATAATGTGTGGATGCACCCTGATGTGCTACGCATTCTCCAACGCGCCTAGGCATGTTTCTGATCAGGTGGTCAATGTCCTCCTGTGGTATCTCATTCCAGGCAACCACCAACTCCTCTCGAAGTGCTTCTACAGTCTGAGGAGGACGTTGCAAATTGAGCAATCTCCTACCCATCATATCCGACACGTGCTCAATTGGGGATAAGTCGGGAGATCTTGGTGACCATGGTAACAATGTGACATCATTATGTTGAAAGAAGTCTATTGTGACTCTTGCAACATGTGGTCGGGCATTATCTTGTTGGAAAGTTGGATCTGCCAGGGTGTCAAGATAGGGTAAAAGATGGGGTTCTAGAACTTCGTGGATATAACGCTGCGCGTTCATGTTACCTCTGATGGAGATTAAAGGTGACCTGGAACCATAAGCTATAGCACCCCAAACCATAACTCCAACAGTGTGATGAACATGTCTTTCAACAAAAAACTGTGGATTCCTCCTTTCACCACGTCGCCTTCTAACCCTGGCACGACCATCGTGCATGCCTAAACAAAATCGAGACTCGTCACTAAAGACAATACTGTTCCATTAATGATCCCAGTGACCGTTGTCTGCACCACTCAAGGCGATTACGTCGGTGTTCTCGAGTTAAAGGGAGGATCCAGTGTGGCCGGTATGAAAACAAGCCAAAACTTCTCATTCGTCGGTAAACACTTCGCATGCCAATAGGTCTTCCGTGTTCTGCAAACCATTCATTTGCAATGGACCTGGTAGTGGAGAAACGGTCCCTTAAGG